GAAATGAAATCGTTCAATTTTAAATAAATGCACTAAAGAGTTATTTGTATGTTTTGTATTGCAGACAAAGGCAATGTTTGTTTGATTTATATACGGCTATATGTGACCTACGATGATGTGCGAATTACTGGGCAAAGACTAAACGATTTATTAAAAATAGTAAAAGGTATTTTCTGACTTTAAAACGAATATTTTTTACCTGCTTTGGGAAGAGCACACGTGATTTTAATAATGTTAAAATAATGATTTAAGAGCATGTGTCTTGCTATTCACTTAAAGAAAGTAGTGCTGAATGTGAAATTATTTATAATAAAAGAAGCAAAATATGAACAAAGAAGTATTTTACTTCAATACGGTACTAATTGCCAAAATGCAACCGAAGCAAAGGATGGTTCAGGTAATGGCAACTGAGTTATCTTTTTAAAAGCTTGAACAGGACACTTATCCTATCATGAATAAACAGATGGACTTTCATTAAAAGTAGTACACAAATCTTATATCAATCATCATTATTGATATAGTTTTGGGGGAGGAGAACACATTTTCCATAAGTTTACAGTAAAAATCATATATTTCACGTTCGTTTAGACATATCTGTCTTATTATTTGCATAATTATCTCGATTGTTTAGATATTTCACAAATGACCGATTGATATCTTGTGCCTCAAGCCGATGTTAAATTGATAACATTAACATTTCAATATCTATCTGAGTAAATCAAGGTTGTTTTCTTTTTTCTGATGTTTTGGGTTTATAGGTTACTCTCTCTGCTAGCCCTTTCTAATAAACTTGCCTTACATTTGAATCGTATTTCTCATGTTGTAGTTCAAATGTTTTTTTCAGTACCAATACATTAGAAGTATTCAATAGTATAGAACTATAGGATTAAAATTACCGGATTTAACTACTTGACTATGGCGAATTCCGTCTTTAGAAGAAAACATACATATAAATATTTTACACTTTTTTCACAAAAGTAGAAAGAGTCGCGTTCAAAAACAGGATGGGTCATTTTTTTTTCGTTGGCAATGCATTTTATCGAGAACATATTTAAGTAACGAATGAATGTAAAAATTTGCCGCACAAGTGTTATTCTCTTTCAAAGATAATTGAATAGGAAATGTCTTCTACCGTTTCACGTATTGGTTTGAATATTTTGAACTATCGTTATTTTAAAACAGGAAGATATATTAAGCAGATGGCCATAACTGTACACTAGTGGATTATGATGAAATTTAAGATCATCATGCCCTCATAGGAAAGTGTGCAATCTTTTGTTCAAAACTACAAATACCACAGCAGGTCAGTATTTTTCTCTTTATAGATTATTTCTTTAATACAATTGGCTATTTCTAAGAAATAAAGACCTATTTTAAGATGTAAAGTCTATACTGCAATAAAACATCAAAGAACTTCAAATCAAATCAGTATTTAGATTTTCCATAATATTTTTTTTAGATTTACAAAACCATTACTTTACAATGTACAATAAAATTTGATAGTATTTGATGAGCTTCAGTAATTTATTACAGTATACATTCCTGATGAGTTCCGTTACAAAAGGCATTACTGGAATTATCCTTAAATCCAGATGAACAACGCCACAAATGAATTCTTAAAAAAAATCCAAATGATATTAAATATTTCAACTAAAGAGTGTCAGTTCCTTTTCGTTGCGTCACTTTCTAATGACATTTTTTGCACACGACAAGTTTAACTGTGATACCTAGTTAAGGTTCACACAAAATAAACTGAAAAAAAACGCAGTAAAATGTAATAAGTTACAGTTCCGCTGCACTGCACTGCATTTTAACTTAGTGAGGTGTAACCGCCTAATGTATAAGGTTTTATGTTAACGGTTTTTATCTAAAATAGCTTACGTCTTAAGTTTCAATCAAAGTGTGAAGGGTTGAAGGAAATACAGATGTTCTAACGAGACAGTGCTTATGTAGCTACTCAATTGTTTTCACCATTGTTCTTCCAGCCACATAAAAAGAAAAATAGCCGATTAAAAGCTTACGGAATGAATGGCACAAAAGAGGAAGTACTATTATTAATTGTTCTTGTAGCCACCTATTAAGTATTCTTTTATACAACAACAAATTTAACAAGTTTATTCATCTTTTCCCATAAGGTCATAGACTCATGTGGTACAATATGCAAAATATATAATATGGCAAACATGCATCAATATTAAATTGACATGATCACAAACATGCATTACAGTAGCACAGTTTACATAGGAAATGGAAACATATACTCACCTATAACATGATATTCATGATTATAAAAAATCACATTTTCGTCGTATGTGTCAATAGTATACATGTATATGCAACATAAGATTTTAATGACTTTACATATTAGACTAGATCTATCACTAGTGAAGAGATTAAAATTTTTCTCAATTGAATTTAGAATTTAAATCATGTTGATAACGAAACTGTGAATTTTACATACATTTTTACATACTGCATACACAAGTTTGACAAAAGTAGTATTAAAGCATTTATTTAACAAATTTGATGAAATGCCTGTTATGCCCCTGAAATGCTTTTCTTCTTTATCCAGAGATAATTGGTATGGTCTTATCATATGAAAGCAGACAGACGGACAACTCCAAATCTATATTTACACGTATTATTAAACTTAAGTTATCAAATAAATTGAAATAAACGTTTTAATATTTTATTTTTGCTGATAAATCTACCCTTTTTCAATTACTTGACCAAAAGCAATTGCTAAAGCTGATATTGGACTTCTTGCTTTCAATATCTGACAATTGTCATTATTAATATCTTCACATAAAGTATTTTGATATAACTATATTGTAAATAGTGTTGACGCAAATAACGTTGTTTATGTAAGTTTATTCACATCTAAACTGCACAATTTCATAAATTTGTTTTATATTACTCGTTACAGCAGTATGCAAGGTATCAAAGTGGAACGCTCTCGCTTTTGTGAAATATCGGGGTTATAGTTTAAATCATGTTAATAAACTCCATAAAAAACTTTAGAAGAAGCAAGGCATATTTACAATACAATTTAAGCTTTTAATGATCTAGCTCCTTATCATAGTGAAACTATCGCGCTGAGATAATTATTCAAATTCTAGAAGTAGAAGGACTTTTGATTGTGGATAAAATTTTAATATGTGGGGCTGCATTTTTGCAGTTGCATCCGTAGGTGTTTTGTCTATGTTCATTATTCAATACAGGTATGTATTTTCATTGCTTCTCATTTTCTTCGAAGGCACATTATACCTCAGATATCAATATATTTTCTTATCCTTTAGGAAGGTCAAATATATGTTCAGTAATGTTTTAATAATGAATTTTTAGCGTCTTACTCGTAAATGTTCAACAACGGCAGAAAGTAGTGTTGAATAATGTGTTGTACATGTAAAAAGTAGGGAAAATGCTATCAAAGTAGTATTTTGACATCCATACAAAATACTAAATCCCTTGACTAATACCAATTACCAATGAAGAAAAGAAACGAGTTGATCTATATAGCCAATGATGTTTGAGTTTTTTGTTGTTTTTTTTTAAGCTTTTAAAAAATATTAAAAGCTTAATGGGCCTCTGATTTGTTAAAATGTATATTCATATAAGAATAGCATCTGGAAGAAGTATGCAAACGTATCATTTATAATTTAAATATGATTAAAGAACACACTATTGTAATATATCATACTGGAACATACATTGAGATATATAAAGAACTAACATTTAAAAGCTTTCTACTTTTGCAAGGAAATACAGATGCAAAAAAAAATTTGTTAATAACAGATTTGAGTCTCGTGAACGACTATGAAGATATCCTGCTTTAAAATATCAGGGAATCAAAAATAGACAGTTGAGCTCTTTCCATCAACATTTGTGACGCTCCTGTAAGAAAACAAATTAGGGACTAATTTATTCAGTGTCGACACTGTTTTGTCGTCTTTGAGGAGACTATATGTCATCATTTTTTGCAGCGGTGCTAGGGGCATGAAAACTAAAACATCAATAGTCAAGAATGCGATTTTAAACTATTTACTTTTTGGCTCTCCGGGGATTGAAATTTTGCTCCCTATTATTAATTAGTGCAAACCCAAATTTTACTTTATATCAAGTGTGAGCATTTTGTGATATTTAGAGCACTGTTGTACTGACCAAGAAAGTACAGAAAATGACGTAATAGAGAAAACGTTATTTAAATCTGACGTCAAAATATGGGCTTTATATGAAATTAACTCGTGACTCGTTTAAGCGCGCTTAAATGCAAGATATTGTTAAATTCTTAATTTGCTTGTGTGGTTCTACTCAGGTACCCGTTCGTGCCAGAAATAATGCACAGAAGAGCACCTGAGGTCTTCTCCGAACGTTGCCATATGACCAATTCTGTGTCGGTGTGACGTAAATCCCAATTAAACAAACATCATGTGAAAATCGAATGAATCTTCCGTGGTCATTCGAATTTGAAAGGTCCTAAATGCGTAAAGGCAAAATTAAAAACTGATTACGTAAATTAAATTGAATTGTTAATAAAGTTGTTAAATACAGATATAATTCATTCTTTCATCATTGTTTTTTTTTTATCTACTTTTATTTCTATGTAAAAATCGTATTGTAAAAAAGTCTTTATTTGTATATGCTGAACATTAAATGTCAAAATATGTACACCATTCTTTATATCATGGTGTTATTATTAGAGTATCTTTATGTTGAAGTTGTATTAGCCAAGATTTAATTTGCATAGGCTACGATCTCATAAAACATTTCGTATATATTTACATGCAGTTAAAACAGCAAAATATGAACAAATATAGAAGGTTTAGGTAAAAGATTTAAATTTTAAACACGCATAACTTACTTCACGTTTGAATAAATGATTTCATACATTTAACCGGAGATGAAAGATATCATGCATAAATAGGGCATATAATTATATACTTTATTTTCATAAATGTTCATAAAGTGCACGTCTCTTTAATATCGTCTACATAGCACAGTTTGAAAATAATTTGCTGTTAAACTATAACATTTCCCATCGATTAATTCAAAATGCTTATATAATTGTTTACTAATCATAAAATGTATTATTTTTTATTTACTTTCTAATACTTTTGTTACAGCTATAACATTTTGGCACTTTTGACATTGAACTCGTACGCGGAATATTACTTCTTTTGTCATAGGAATATCGTAGCGTAAAATGTCTATTGTCGTTTTATAGTGCACAATGTAACACTTAAACAGCCAGAATATGTAATAAAAAGTAAAGAAGATAAAGTAATACAAGACTATGCCAATTAGGCTGGAGAGAGATCCAATAACTCGCTTTGAAGTCTTCCAATAAATTAAACACAGTCTTCATTATTTTATAAGGGATTGGATTGACTGGAACAAAAAGTTTATTTACAGAGTCGCACCCGGTCCATGTAAACAAGTCTTAACAGGTGAGACCGTTACAAAACAATATAAAGTTTATATATTTCTTTTATTGCTATAATAAAAACTGTTACATGTAATAATATATATTTTGCATATAAAAACCCCGTCAGGGGAAGGCGTTGTTCCCTTGAGCAAGAAACTTCACATTCATTGCTCAGTACTGGATGGTTCTAGGAACGCATTAGAAACTGTGTCAATATCCTGACAGCTTCCGACACAACCCAACTGAAATAAATTCTGTATAAACCAAAAGAGGGAAAGACCATTGTTGCCGAAGTATACATGTAGATTGCATTGACGGCAGCGTTCATGAATCAATTAAAGATAAATTTGCATATAATTTTCATAATAATATACAAAATATAGACTTACAATGCTTTGCCGTCTTATCTCCAAATCTTTGCATATACGATCCATAAACCTCCCTTCTACTATCATATTTCAGAAGGAGGCTCAGAAGATATCACTTATATTGGCAATGATATAGTTATAATATCATCAGTAAGTTCATATTTTAAAATATATTTGTATATTTATTTAAACCAAGATATAAATCATTTTGACTTGTGTAAGTTCGCTGTTTTAGTGATACAATTTAATTATTTTGCCTTGTATATTGATCACTTTCCGTGATTCAATTTTAACTGTTTGTCTTGTTTATGATCGCTGTTCGTGCTACAATTTAATATTGATATGTCTAAAAAATAAAAATGTTACTTTTCACAGTTACGTTTTTTTTATCGAAGCATTGCAAACCATTTTTATATCAATACATTTTATGACAAAGGGTATTGGAGAAGGGGAAGGTGAAGGCGTAATTAAAGCTCTTGATCTTAACACAAGCCAAGTTGTTAACATGACAATACGTGGAGCACCTGACAGAAAAGATTTCATGACAAAGCCACACGGAATATCTACCTGGAAAGACGAAAGAGGTGTGTAGTAAATTTGTCTATGAATAGTCAAGGTGTTTTCTGGTATTTTACACTGCTAGTTATGTAAACAAAATTCTTTTGTCATACAGAAATGAATCTTTTCATTTCAAAGAGCTTTATTGCTTTTATACGAGCTATATCACTGATTTGTTTGAGATGCCAGGAATATTTTTTATATTTTTTTAACTATTCATTTTTTACTTCTTAATAATCAGTGTTTTATGTTGTTTTTTTTTTGTTGAATATGAGGAGGTAAACAGAAAAATGATGCATTTATACCTTTTCCGGTATTATATGTCATAAAGATGATAATCTGTATCAAAAGTCTGTTGAGGGAACATATAAATAACCTATTTATATTTATTTCAAAATTAACATTCATGCTATATAAATATTTTAAGTCATTTGTAAATTAGTATGTTATTGACCTCTTTAAAATTGATTTCGATCCATGTATGACCATACCTTTTCTTAGAGTTAATGTAAACAATTATCAAGACTGACCACCACTGTCGCTAAACGCGTTAAAATGGTCCATAATTATTATCTTTTTTATAGGAAGACCATAGGAAGTTTTGTCAAAGAGGAGCATTGCCGATGAAGGCGATGAAATGCCCAGCATTATCTTTTAAGTGCAGGGAGGTAATGAGCTGCTTTGTCAAGTAGTTTTTGAACACAGTAGCATTTGTGGCGTAAAAATGAGGTTTACATTATTTATTTATTTTAGGGAGGTTTTGAACTGTTTTGTCAAAGAGTTCCTAAAAAAATTTGCTGAACTTTTTAAACAGATTTATATTAACTTTTTGTTATAGGAGAGATATATTTATACGTTATAACACATCCGTCGTTATCAGAGGACAGGATAGAAGTTTTCAAACTGAAAGAGAATAACGTTTTGAAATATAAACGGACCATAACGGATCCACTCTTGGTCAAGTATGTATCCCCATTTACCAAATTAGTAGTTACATTTACCCTTAAACTTAGTTTACGAATATATTTAAGGGCGAATATTACTTAACTGTTTTAATTCGGCTTGACAATCAATTTTATATAATATGAGTTAAATGTTATATTTAATAAACTTAATAATATGATATTTGTTGACGAAATAATAAATGCCATTAAACAATTCAAAAGCAATCGATATGGTGAACCAGACTAAATATTAAATGAATTTTTCACGGCAGGAAAATATGTTCTTGTACCTGTTTTACATAAACTTTTAATAACATTTTTGAAATCCGGTATTTACCAGAAAAATGGTCTGATTGCTATGTTATACCATTGCATAAAAAGGTAATATGAATAATGTCGAAAATTATCGTGGGGTGACACTTCTTAGTTGTTTAGGAAAGCTTTTTACACGTATTATAAGTAATAAATTAAAGTCATGGGCAGAAAATTACAATGTATACATAGAAGCTTAGGCGGGTTTTAGGTCAAACATGAGTACCATTGATAATGGTTTTGTAGTAAATTGACTTATAAATCATTTTTTAAATCAAGGTAAGCAGCTTTTTACTGTGTTTGTAGATTTTACGAAATCATTTGACTACATAGTCAGAGACAATTTGTGGTATAAATTGGTACAATAAGGTATTAGAGGTAATATCATTAAATCAATGTATGAGTCTGTAAAATCACGTGTTAAATATCTAAATAATCTTAGTGAGGAATATACATATATGCTTGGTGTAAGACAAGGTGAGTGTTTATCTCCCTTGCTCTTCTCTCTATTCATAAATGGTTTAGAAGATACGTTCATTTATAGAGGTTCAGATGGCATAGATATAGATATGTTTAAAATTTTCCTTCTGTTGTATGCAGATGGCATGTTCTTTTTTGAAATTCTCCTGAAGATTTACAGCATAGTTTGAATGTTTTAAATAATTATTGTAACACTATGAAATTTAAAGTAAACATATAAAAAAAAGGTAATGATTTTTAGGAAAGGTGGATGTTTACCAAGTGATCTTTGTTTTTATTACAATGGTGAAATACTTGACATAGTTAACAAATTCTCATACTTAGGTGTAGTGTTCACTTGTGGTGGGTCATTAAGCACAGCTCAAAGTACCCTGGCGGGTCAAGCTCAGAAAACAGTTTTTTAAGTTAAACAAATACTTATATAAATTTACTTACATACCACCTCGGCATAATACCAATATGAAATGATAGTAGTGAAATATTAGGTTTTACAAATGATATATCAATAGAAAGAGTTAATTTTCAATTCTGTAAACGAATTCTCGGTGTGAAAAAGACAACCAAAAATGATTAAGTTTATGGAAAACTGGGTAGAACCTCTTTACAAGTTATTCATCATATGAACATTGTTAAATAATGGGTAAAGATATTAAGAGTACGCGAAAATAAGTATATTTATTTGATCTATTACATTTTAAAATTAGATTTTGAACGAGATGAGCAGGAGGTAAACTGGTGTTCAATGGTTAAAAATTTTTTATGTTCTCTTGGTTTTTTATGATGCTTGGTTAGAGTAAAATGTTGGTGATGTTCAGTTATTTCTATCTTCAGTTTAACAAAGGTTAAACAGATCAATTTATTCAGAACTGGCATGGTAGACGCATGTTATAAGCAGAGCATTATTTTACAGAAACATTGCATCTTTCCAATGTCAGCTATATCTTGAAAGTTTTTTCAATAAATAAAACTTTGCCAAACATTATCTAAATTGCGTGTTTTCTTCGCAACGTGTTACAAATTGAGTCAGGTAGATGGGTACGTCCAGTAAGAATTGCAATAAATGAAAGGAAATGTAACTTATGTGGTTTATTGGAGGATGAATTTCATTTTATAATTGAATGCTGTCTTTACAATGATTAAAGGAAAAGAAAAAGTATATACCAAGTTATTATTGGAATAGACCGAATATGTTTAAGTTTTAAGAATTGATTAAATCTGATAACAAAATTTTAATTAGAAATTTAGGAATATATGTATACAACGCTTTTGCTATTAGAAATACCGTTATGTACGGGCAATGATACATGTAAAATAATGTATATATCTCTATATTTTTTTCTCTCTTCTTCGGTTGCCACAGCACAGTGGAAATATTACTTTTTTCAAGATATAAAATTCAATACTAAAAGTTTCAAAGAGAAAAGAATAAATGATATTTGAATCAATATTCAGTTATTTTGATGATGGTGTTTCTCGAATAGCCAATGAGTTGACCTTTTAATGCTCCCCGAAAAATTTCGGGGGAGCATATAGTCGCCGCCTTGTCCGTCCGTCCGTCCGTCTTTCCGTCCGTTCGCACTGACAGGAGAGTAATTATGTGGCTAGAGGGACAATAGGTAACTGTTCTTTCTCTTTGATGTCATTCATTCCGTAATGCTTTATGTGGCTATTTTCTTTTGTGTGGCTAAAAAGAACAATAGAGAGAACAATAGAGAGAGTAGCCACATAATTACTGTCCTGTGAGAACTTCCGTCCGTCCGTCCGTCCCCTTTTCTTGTCCGGGACATAACTTTGAAACAACAAGAGGTATCAACATGAAACTTTGTAGGTAGATAGATCTCAATGAGTAGGTGTGCAGTGCACAAGAACCGTAACTCTGCCTTGCCTAATTTTTGAATTATCCCCCTTTGTTTATTTTACACTTTGAACTTTGTCCGGGACATAACTCTAAAACTATAATAGGTATCAACATGAAACTTTGTAGGTAGATAGATCTCATTAGGTAGGTGTGCAGTGAACAAAAACCGTAACTCTGCCTTGCCTAATTTTTTGATTATCCCCCTTTGTTTATTTTTACACTTTGAACTTTGTCCGGGACATAACTCTAAAACTATAAGAGGTATCAACATGAAACTTTGTAGGTAGATAAATCTTATTAAGTAGGTTTGCAGTGCCCAAGAACTGTAAGACTGTTTTGCCTACTTTTTGAGTTATTGCCCTTTGCTCATTTTGACACTTTGAACTTTGTCCGGGACATTACTCTAAAATTATAAGAGATATCAACATGAAACTTTGTAGATAGATAGATAGGTCTCATTGGGTGGAAGTGCAGTGCGTAAGAATCATTACTTTGCCTTGCCTTATTTTGAAGTTATTGCCCTTTGTTTATTTTTACTTTTTGACTTTAGTCCGGGACATAACTTTAAAACATTGGATAGAACTGCAATGCTTAAGGAACCTAAACAAAGCCTGGTCTTATTTTGGAGTTATTGCCCTTTGAATTTTCGGGACATATCTCTGATATCATCAGGAAACTTTATAGATAGATAGATCTCATTGAATAGAAGTGCAGTGCAAAAATACATAACTCCGCCTTGCCTAATTTTGGAGTTTTTGCCCTTTGTTCATTTGTTTTATACTTTCCTGTGTCCATCCTTCTCGGGGAGCATCACCCGGTTCAACCGGTTCTTGTTTTCTTTTGTTTACAATTTCGATAAAGGTTGACTGTAAATTGGAGTACTATTCAAATGATTGCATAAATGAAATATATATTATATTGCATTGTATTGAATAATTGTTTCTCCTCTACTGGAGAAGTTTTTAAGGTTGAATTTAAAATCTCTCCTTTATTTTAAATATTTGAAAAAGAGATGTTTTATTATCATTATCATGCATTACTCTGCCATGTCATATATAGTATCTTTGTAATATGTTGTCCTCATGGGCTAATAAGCCGGTTGGAAATGAAATAAATAAATTCAAAATATAAAGGCGAACTAAGTCTTAAAAAAAAAGTAACGTTCTTTCTTAAAATTAGGTAAGCATATGTTATTTTACATCTTAAATGCTTATCACCTAAAATAAATAGCAAAATGTGAAATGATTGTTGACAAAGGTAGCAAAATGTAAACAAAGTGGTATTTTCTCACTGTTCTTGTAAGTTTGAATGTTTGTTGTTGTTTTTGTTATTTTGTACTAAAAATATTTCAAAAAATATATAGGTTGTGTGTTTTTTCAGCACATTTTTTAATACTTTTTGGGACTTCACAGGGGCCCCGATTCTCAAGTTT